CATGTTTCCTGGAAACGGTGTGCAACGTTTTCTCTTGTTTGGTGGGTGTGTCAAACATGTCAGCCCAATCAGCAGCAGCATGTATATAAACCATTATTAAAGAGACAGCTCGCACAATGTAATTAACATCCAAATAAATTCACAAGAGCAAGTATATTGTTTGCACATGTTTATTTACATTAAAGGCAAAATAACTGAAATAATAAGGGCACAAGTATAGATTTGGAACTTCTTTAAGTCTGTCTAAATATCATTTAGTAATTGCAATGTCTTCTGGTCCATATCCTTTCCTTAGGAAGGTGTGCTAAATACTGATTAATGTAACATAAAATACTATACATATTTATATATTTTGCTATTGTACACATTGTGGAGTGACACTTTCATAACCTTTTCTATACCCCTCTGATTATATAATGGTAAATATTACAATATCATAGCACAACAACAGTGATCAGCAATAATGATAAGCCCAATACTCACAATTAAAATAATACGGTCATATGGATCATAACACAGTCTCGGAGGTAAGAAAGTGGATTATCCTTCACCTGAAATGTTTGTCTTTTCATCCTGAAATGCGAGGCAAATGTTGGATCACAATAAATAGGAACCACAGTTTCCACAATATACCGATTTTATCAGGCTCCGAAAATTCTTCAAGAACAAAGAATGGCCTTCTCAGCCTGCCATAGTTGCAACTCTTGCGTCATCAGAACAGGGTGTTGAACGCACCACCGTTTCCGTTTAAAAAAACGTTTTGCACCGTTTTTGTCGGCGCTGAACGCAGCCCAGGCGAATAGCCTGTTTATAGGGTGAACTACTAAGCAACATCCTACGCAAAGAAAAAAAGTGTGCCTACTGTGATTTTTTCTCTGATGTTATGCGATCGGTGGATACTATACCATCTGACTTTCCGGCTGGTTGTTAGTTTGAATCTAGATTGTACTTAAGACAAAATATACTGTATTATTCCTTTCAGTTCCACTTTCTGACTTTTTATTCCTTTAAAATACTCATGGGTCATGGCCCCGTTTAGTAAATACATTGTTTAGAAATGGTAGAAATATTACAGTTGATCTATAAGTTTTAATTATATATTCAAAATAATACTAAGTGAAAATTCTGTACCACTCTGTTTAGGTAAATGACAAGATTCCACATAAGCATATGACGATACTTCTGATCATTAAAACTCATTTTAATTTTACTGTGCATTATAAAACCCGCAGTACTGATCTGTTTAAAACCATGCCAAGGGGAAATATTATTTTGTATGTGACTTATTAAAAAAAGTGGAAGTGAAAATGTAAGGTCATATGCACTGCTTCCGTTTTTTTTTTCTCAGTGTCATAATCTGTGAAATAAGGAACAGAAATGTTTTTTGAACAGTTTATTTTTCAGTTAACAGTTGAAAGATAAAACCTAAGTTGTGCAGTTCATGAATGAATTACAACTATTATAATAAGCATTTACAGTTACATCAGAAGCTTCCCTCAGAAAGGTTTTAGGAAGCATCTTCATTAAGTAAGCAGTTTAAAAAACAGTCGCACTTTAATCATGTCTGCACAGTCGGCCTATATCAAACAACAATATATAAGTGATATGAAACAGATGGTCAATCTTGCGTGGCCACAACATGAGGAGTTTGCCAGGTCTATTTCGCCCTCTTCAGAAGCTCTTTGATATCTGCTTCAATGTCGATGGTGAGGAACCTTCTGCTGTATCTCTTGAACGGTTCCCCGTCCGGGCCGATGAGGAACTTCTCAAAGTTCCAGGAGATGTCATTCCTGCTCACCGGACTCCAGATGATGAATTTGGGATCACCCATCAAGGACACAGAGTCGTCACTGGGCTGAGGCAGCTTCTCTTTGAGGAACACAAACAGAGGGTGGGCGTTCTCACCGTTCACTTCCAGCTTCTCCAGAAGTTGGAATTTTGGCTCGAAGCCATTTCCGGGACGGACAGACTTCAGAGACAGAAGAATTTCATCATTCTTGCAGTTCTCCTGTTAAGCAACCAAAATTGCATAATATGCAATAAAGCAGATAACGGCATGTGAACATAGAATCAGTTAACAATGCAGGTGTTGTCCATTGTCATCGCTATCAAAATGAACAAAGCTTTGCTGATAGCAACAAGATTGTGAAATATTTCAATTACTTCTACAATGCAAACCGGTGAAAATTAAAATATATTAGTATTATTATAAATATATAAAAAACTTTAATGTATTAAAAACAACAACAGTGACAATATAAACATTTATTTTTAACAGATACTAAAAATATTAAATAATAACAGCTTTATATTTAACAATATTCAGTGTGTAACAATAATATGTTTATATATAATATTTAGATATGTTTTAAAAAATATAATATTTTTTAATGATATTAAAATCTGTATATCTGTCTATAGGATCTTTAATAATTATATATAATTTATCCTTCAAATCTGAAGGATTTTAAAAATACATAAAGTATTTAAATGCAGAGGCGGACAGTAGTGAAGTATTTTTACTCCGCTGTAAAAGTACTTTTCAAGTTGTCTGTACTTTACCAGAGTGTTTTTCTTTAGAAAACTTTACTTCACAACATTCCAAAGCATAATATTGTACTTTTTACTGCACTACTTTTCATATTAAATATCATTTAATACTTAATTACATTAGAAATCTATAACTTTCTTTCTTTTACTCAAGTAACTCAAAGATTTACTTGAGTACAAGAAAGTACTACATTTTTAATGTTCTTAAGTATTAAAGGTAAAACAAACACCAACTTTTATTTATGAAATGTAGTGCAGTAAAAAGTACATTATGCTTTGGAATGTAGTGAAGTAAAGTTTTCCAAAGAAAAACACTGATAAAGTACAGATACTTTTTAAATTTACTTGAGTAAAGTAAAAATACTTCACTACTGTCCGCCTCTGTTTAAATGTATAAAAAAATAAATACCACTATAAATATCTGTATATAGGATTTATATATTAATATAAGTTAATTAAAATGTATGCAAGTTATATGATGTATTAATATAAGTTATAATCTATCCTCAAAAATCAAAAAAAAAGAAATAAGTGAAGAAAGTTGGAAGTCTCACCTGATGTCCGAACTGGTTGCAGGGAGCGCCCAGAATCACGAGCCCCTGATCAGCGTAGCGGTTGTGGAGCTCGTTCATCTGAGTGTAATCCCTGACCGTTGTGCCTCAAAGCGACGCCACATTTTCAATTAGCACCACTTTACCTTTGAGAGAGGAAACGTTCAGGAGGTCCCCAGACAAAAGTTTGGCGGACAGATCATAAAACTTCTTCACGGCCCCTGCCATGCTCGAACACGCTGTTTACTACGTAGTTCGAAGAGCAAAATGATCTTTTACCAACGAGCCTTGAGTTGAACCTTGCGTCACCCAATAATATGTTCCTGCACAACCGGAGGCTGCAGTTTCAGGACCCTATTCTTTTGTAACAGCGCCACCTACCGAATTGGATCACTAAAGATGGACGACATGGACCGCAATCAGAGTGAGTAACTTTACCGATTTTCAATTAAGTTTTATTTTATAACCTTAAAACGATGCAAAGTTTACGTAGCCAACGTGAGAACTGCTAAAAAATAATCATTAATTCCCGATTGCTAGTTTTATTGATTATTACGATGTTTTTAATTTGTGGCCATGATTTAATTAAATATCTTTAACAACATGTACAAACATTACTACAAACTAAACCACCAGGGTCCTAGAACTGCGGTCCTGAAACTGCAGCCTCCGGTTGTGCAGGAACACCCTTCTCTGAGTCACACGGAGCGGAGGCGCGTAATACAATTCAAGGACGTGTGCAATTTGTATCGTGGTAGAGGCGAGCAGCAAGAAGTAAATACTGGTAAACACTGCCATCTTCTGTCAAATGGGGGTATTGCACTCCAAGCCCTGCATATCCCTGCTTAGTGGTTATTGCAACAGTTAATTAAAAAATAAGATAAAAATGTAATTAAAAACAAAATAGCTAATAAAAATCAAGACGTTTAGAACCTAAATATATTTTTATTTAAATGTAATATATGTAATAATTATAATTAGGGATGTCCCGATCAGTGTTGGGGAAAGTTACTTTTAAAAGTAATGCATTACAATATTGCGTTACTCCATAAAAAGTAACTAATTCAGTTACGTAGTTACTTTTGATGGAAAGTAATGCGTTACGTTACTTCTGCGTTACTTTTAAAATCTGGACAGGGCTTGCTTGTTTGTTTTTAAAATAAAAAAAGTTATATTTTTGGCAAATATAAAAGCCTTTTCACACCAAAAGTGAAATGAATACGCCTCAGGCTGAAGGGAAAGTAAATTTATGTCCGTACAGTAGAATGCAGAAGAAGAAATTTCAACACACTTCAGCAATAAAAAAAGACACACAAATGTTTGTCGAGTAATTTGTGCTTATTAGTATGGTTGAACTGGATCATCGAAGGTCAGAAGCAAAGACATTGGTTAATAGAATGGGATTAAATACATAAAGGATATTTGTGTTGTTTAACATTTAATTATTGCAGGTTTGCGGCATATTCTGAGTTAAATTATTTTTATTCATTTTGAGGAATACTGAATCAGTGTTTTTTTTTGTGAGTGAGTGAGATGAATTAATGCATATTCATATTTATTTTAGAACTACAGTAACATCTTCTGATTTCTCTCAACAAGGGGACAGGAGAGATGTCAATCAATAAATTGGAAAAAAAAGTAACTCAGATATTCTCTTGTAAATTAAAAAGTAATGCGTTACTTTACTAGTTACTTGAAAAAAGTAATCTGATTACATAACTCGCGTTACTTGTAATGCGTTACCCCCAACACTGGTCCCGATCAGTTTTTTTGTGCCTCCGATAGGATCAGAGTCATTGAATATTGAGTATCTGCCGATACCGAGTCCCGATCCGATTAATAAGATGCTTAAAACATTCCAAAATGTTTTATTTTGAACTTCTCCGCTTTTGAAGAGTCCTTTCAATACGCGATGCAATTTGTTTAAGTTGCTGGTTATTAAAGTATGTTATTTAGGTTTTGTATTGGATATTGGATATTGAAGTAACACTCAAAATCAGCCAAATGACTCATCGGTTCTCGAATTCAGTTTAGTTCAGTGCGGTCTTGTGAACCGATTCGATCTGTTCATGAATTAAAATGATCCAACCACCACAATGTCAATGAACGATTCGTTCACGAACCGAGCATCACGAGTCTCCTCTGTGTATTATAAAAGTGAAACATACAAAAGTGCAATATAAACAAAGGATTGTCTGAAGGTTAATTAAATGATAAAAACTTCATAAAAGTCTCAAAGATTTCACAGCTGTCAACTTTGCGCGTTCTGTGGGCAGTTTGAGCATTTTTAATTATGTTACACTCCGAACCAAATCCAATCAACCCTTCAGTGTACATAAGCAAAACCCTTGAACCGTTTAGAAAACATTCTGTATTAAACTATAAACGAGAGGTTTCAGTGACAGTGAATTGTAAGTGTTTAGAAAAGAAACATGACAGTCTTTCAGTAGTAGTAAATAGCTCTCACCCCTATTACAAGCGAATGGTTCCGTCCAGGAAGCTCGAGCGCGACCTTTTCTGTGTTTAGGGAAGTGATTGAATCTGCGCTTCTGAGTGTCTCCGTACCAGCTTTAACTGACTTCTGATTTCTATTCATAAATCCTCTAATCTGTGTCCATTTATCCTTTAACTAATGCAGTCGCTCAGTAAAACCCCCACAGCCAGGCTGAGTTTTGAATTAATGAACGAGTGAGACTGTTATCCTCGATAAAAGCAGCTCTCTGTTGTTCTTGTGCTCTTTCACCTCACAGCATTCAGCTGACATGTGGGAATGGCAGATTTTGAGTCTCATAGGCTTTATCTCTCTAGTTCTTCTTGTCATAGCGGTATGTTATATTTTGTACTCTGGACTGACCACTGAAATCCACATCAGGACTGGTTTACCCCCGGTCAGGAGCATCACTATAGCCTATAAATACAAAGTGGGACCTTATAAAGACTGTGGGTCACTGTTCAGAGAGAGCTGCAGCATTGGACCCAAGCTGTCACGCATTGGGATCTTTTATGATGATCCGAAGAAGGTGAGTAGACCTTATGAATGAGGACACTGGTGTATTGCTGTCAGGAAGACACTGTTTTATTGCTGCATTGGCAGTATTATATGATTTTTGGAGTGAATAATGTTTAATGTTGAGACCAAACTTAGTGTGACAGGTGGATCAGTGATTGATTTATGGCTGTAACATATTCTAGATGTTTATTTATTTATTACATTTTTAAAAATTATTTATTTCAATTATTATTATTTATAATAATAAGACAAATCAGTGCTGACAAATCAGCATATAAGAATGATTTCTGATGGATCATGTGACACTGAAGACTGGAGGAATGGCTCCAGTCAGTTTACCATCACAGAAATAAATTACATTTTAAAATGTATTAAAATACAATTTTTTAAATTATTTAATTAATTATTAGTATTATTCAAAATAGTTAAACATCATTCCAGACATTTGACCCCCACTGTTTGTATCTATCTGTCTGTATATGAAGGGTGAATTCAGGTAAAGTGGGCCACTTGTAATTTCTTTTCTTTTTCTTTTATTAAGGTCCAGTTGTAATATTTTCTTTTAAAGTCAGTTCATATGACATGTTATTTGAAAGGTATATGCCAATAAACATTTTAAGATCATGCACTCCAGTCCAGACTAATGTTTTTTTCAGGTAAAGTGGGCCACCTCTGATTTATCAAAAATTATCTGGTGTGTCCTAATTAGAAATGATAAAAACACATTTATTTATTTATTTGTTTTTAATGTTTATTAATGCATTATCAAGCGAACATATTCAGCCAAGACTATGAATAAAATTAATAAGTTCACTCAATTCATGCATAAATTAAAACATTTATGAAATATAACAAAAGTTTGATGAAACTTAGTCAACATATTAATAAATGTGACTATAACACATTCAACAATTAACAGGATAACAAAAAACGAAATAAGAACATTTAAAAATGTAATGTAAAGCTTTTTCTCTCTGTTTTCTCTAAAAACTTTAAATGAACTTTAATTACGACCATATTTAAAAGCTTTATACTCTGCATATATTTTGCTCCTCTCATCCTTTTTTCACTCCAGATTCAACTTCATGCCTCGCCTTCCTTTCTGCTCTCTTTTCTTTTATCCATATCTAACTTGAATATTCTGACTGCACACTCATTTCTGTTTTCTAGTCAATTATACATTTCCATTATAAAATAATCAGTGAATGTCAGGTTTTTTTAACGAATGTGAGTAGAATAAGTGAAAGTTCAAGGTGGCCCACTTTATCTAGCACATTCAACCATGTCTAGCACCTTTTTTTTTTTTTTTACTAAAATTATTCTTTGCATTTTAATCCATGTTAACTGCAGTAACAAATAATAAAAGTACTATCACAATACTTTGAGGGTCATAATAAGCCCAAACTATTTTATCTTTTAAAGAAATACTGTCCCTTTAAGTAAATCCCATTGTTATGCTCTGCATATGCAACTCCATTGATCACAATATATGAGCTTAAACTGCCCTCATTACCCGATGGTCCACTTGGGACATTACATTTAGAAGAAAATACTGCAAATGAAAGGCATAATGTGATTTGTTCTGTATTTTTTCCTTCATTTCCATTAGAAATTCCATATATATGCTGCTCATTAATGGCATAATTTTATTTGCACTGTATATTGCACAGATAATAGAAAAGCACCTGCAGAAAACACTTTAACTTCTAATTCCCCCAGCCATCATCACTCTGATTATATCAAACTAATATATACGTCATGTGTGAATAACACAATTATATTAGTAGCTGTGAAGTGTAAGCTGTGGCTTTAGAGCTGCCTGTGCCGTTTCCTGTTTACTGAATCAGTATGCAGCGCTCTGCACATCCGACACATTACACATGCATTACACTTTAATTCCCTCATGAAAGTAAATTGCTTCAATTACTTTAGTGAATTCATTTAATTTAAATTTGCAGTTTAGTTTGTTTGGCTGTGCAATCCATAACATTTCCCTCCAACAAGGCTAATCTCATACAAAGGTCTTACAAGAGGGCTTTTCATTAGAGATGTTATGCACACTAAGTCTGTATTGTGATATGTGTTCTATTCAGTGTTATTTTTTTATTAATATTCTTTATTAATTTTAATGTGTGTTGATGATTTAAATGTATTATTTCTATTAGCAGTTGACCATATGGAGTTGTTGATCCTCATATACCACTAGATGGAGGTGTTGATATAGTCATTTTGTGCACTAATGTTGATTATGCAGTTAAACATGTAGGTGTGGAATATGTTTGTGTGTTCTGGTATTTTGATATAATTAGATTATCTGTTATTGTGTGACTCTTATTGGATATAATCTCATTTGATCATATATATAATCATGATAAATTGTGTAACATTTTCTAATTTGCATGCTGTACACATTTTTCCTTACTGCCAAATGCCTCTCGCAGTGTAAATGCATTATTACTAAAGCCAGAGAATTATTCATGGCTATTAAATTATAAAATCGGGTTTGACTGATTACATTTATCTGTAACGGTGTTGTTCTTACCAAAGTAAAAAAGAAAAAAAAAGTGGCAACATTAAAGGAACAGAAAGAAATGCTTTCATTAAATTTTCACCTTCATGTAGTTCCAAACCTGTATGACTTTCTTTCACAAAAATATATTTTGAATAATGTACTCTCTCTTTTCCGTGCAATATTACAAGAAATTGTTTTATGATAAACTGACCCAAGTTTATGTTATACAGCAGAGCAGTTTGACTCATGAACAAATCTTTCAGACCAGTTCTGTCAATCGAATCAATTGATTCACTGCCAAGATCTGACTCAAAAGATTGATTCGTTCATAAATCTTTGAAAGTTCTAGTTCAAGTTTAAAAATTAGACATTCTTTGTAATTGCATGGGGAAAAGCATATTATTCTAATTCTCTTTGTTGTTCCAAGAAAAGATCAGCTCATAAATTATACAAATATTTCCATTGGTGTTTCAATGCTATATACAAGTCAAAACAGATCATAAGATTTTATGCATATATACATTTAAAGGCACAATATGTAATTTTTTGCCACTAGAGGGCGCGTAGTACTTACGAGTTGACAAGTCGTAATTACGACGTCAGGTGCGTTCAAGTCAGTAGTGTCCCTCCTTTGAATAAATTACAAGAAAATACAACAGGGTCTGCATTTTTTTAATTGGATTTCAGCTGCATAACAAGAACATGACCAATTTAAGTTTATAGGACAACTAAACTATCAATTTAAACGAAAATTTACCGTCAACTACAGACGTTGCATCCATCGATTCCGCCATGTTTCTCATTGACACGCCCCCAACTCGGAAACTCGGGGCTCAAAGAAAATTTTGAGTTTCCCACTCGTAATAACGTCTTTGTGGTGGCGTTCATGTGCGCTCAACTCGTAAATACGATCTATCCGACATGACTTGAACGCACCAGTAGATGGCGCTGTGACTGGGTGTGGAATCATGGGAGTTGTCGTCTTCATCCCCACAACCGAAGCAATCCGACGGGACTCTGGCAGAAATCATGTTCATGGATGAGCTAATGTATTAAAGATTTATTAACGTAGTAGAATGAAGCAGGGTGAGGCTGAAAGCCGTCAAAGCGAAACGAGGCCGCTGAACGAGCGTGACACACGGCTCGAAAGCAGCGGAGCTTTTATTATGCCACAGTCAACCGCTTCCGCTCCTTCCGGTCGTGCGTATGTGGGGTAAAGCAGCGCTGTTTGTTTGAAAGTTCTGTTATAATGCTACTCTGTGCGGTCGTCACCCGTTTAATAAAATGCATAACATATTAAAGCGTCTTTGGTGTTTCCATATTTTCTACAAAACAAAACCGGAAATCGAGGGGTTATGACGTCATTGGCAGGCGACACAATGACACTATAGACACGGTCCGTGTCACTAGTTAAAATTTCTTATTTCTCTGGATTTAAACATTCTTCTAAACATTTGGGATAATGTAAGTACACAAGTCAGCAAAATATAAAAAACTGTTCTTGTGGTTTTTGGATATTTTAATAAAAAAATCTTACATATTGTGCCTTTAAGTCCTAGGATCTAAATTCTGATGTTGTTTGGATTCAATTCAGATTCATTTCAGTACAAGTAGTAGAGAATGTGGATGAGAGGAAGCATAAGTAGCCGACTGAAGCGATCTAGGGTGTATGGTTTGAATTTAGAGAAAGGCACCAAGGTTATTATTTCATGAACCCTAGCTTAGGCTGAACTTGATCTCAGAATGTCATAAAAAGGAAAGCACAAAAGGTAAAATGTATCAGAGTTGGTGCCCTGTACCTACGTTTGCCCTTACACTTTTATGGAATATAAATTAGCTCATACCACAACTTCTGTGACTGTTTATATCTGACCTTCAGTGGCTCCAGTTGCCCTCTGGGTTGAATCACTTTTCAAGTTGTTTAGTTCTAACAGAGTGTTTTGTTTGGCATTTAGGAGTGTATTTATATTTATCTATGTATGTATTTATCTGGCAAAAAAAAAAAAAAGAACACCAGCTAATGGGATGATCAAAAAATAACCACCATTTCTACAGCAGAGGAAGAGCAGAAACCCACCATCCTGTTTGAGATGATGCTCGTAATCAGTTTGTGTAGGCTGACGGTGTTGCTGGAATTACTTCTTGACTCGTTTTGGCAAAGAAAGCCTCTTGGTTTTCCTGTTTGTGCACAAGACCTTCTTGATGCAGAACTTGCATCATCATATTTCTCACACTTCCTGCCCACCTCCTTCTTGACCAGTCAAAACGGTTTTCATAGCATTAATGTGTACTCAACCTCCCACCAGAAAACCCTACTGGAATGGAGTCTGACTCTTGATTGACAGCTCGATCTTACTTTCAAAGGCTCATTGTCAATGACAAACTGTTTTTTCTTTCCCCAAGTCCCCAATTAGCAACTGTCCAAAGCTCCACACATACAGCCATGGCCAAGTCCTGATCCAGTTCAGCTAATTGTCATAATGATCTCAGCTCATTAAGAGAGGAGCCTGGGGTGCTAAACCCGGGGGTCAGAAGCTCCCAAAGGCTGCCGATAGAAAGTAGAGAGAGGCAGTAACAGGACTGGAAATCAATGGACTCCTCAGGGATGAAGGATTTTACCACAAGGATTGGCATGACCACCATGGTCCCTCTATTTTTTTTGATTCACTGACTGCTACTGTAGTCTACAAGCCCGCAAGCTTTTGGGAACTTTCTCTCATCAAGCCAAACAATGCGGTGGAAGTGAAAGCCCATGGGTCTGAAGATGGTTGCCATGGATAAGAAGAGCGGGGAAGACTTCTTCACATGCCGGATTCTGTGAAGGGCCATGAAAGGCATTCCAGTCCCTAAGTGACGGAGAGTTTTAGGGTTTGCTTTTTCTCTGTTCTCCACATCGGTCATTTGCAAGTCTATTAGACTGCTATTAGAATAGGTGATGGTGACTGTTGGCAGAATTGCACTTTCAGTAGTATTTCAGATTTTTGAAGTACATGCATGCTTTTTGGCGGTAGTATTGCCTGGTTCTTTGATGTATATGTAATAACTATCAACAAAGGGGTTTGTAATATCAAGACGTCAATGTTCCAATACTGCACTGAATTTTACATTTTGGGGTATTTTTACCTGATCTACCATTTAAGGGTGCATATTAGTACCTTAATGGGATAATTCATCTGAAAATTAAAATTCTGTTATCATGTACTCAACTTTGTGTCATTCCAAACAGTGATGTTATTGTGAACTAAAACTATTAAAAATCATTTTTGGTAAGTACTAAATTAAATAACTGCCATTTTTGGAAGTACTAAATTAAAAAATATGATCTTTAAACTAAAAAAGAAAAACTTGCACATCATCATCCTGTTCAAAAGTTTTCAACCCCTTCGCTCTTAACGCATCTTCTTTCCTTCTGGAGCATCAGTGAATGTTTTCACCTTTTGTAATAGTTGTGTACGAGTCCCTCAATTGTACTCAGTGTGAAAAGATGAATCTCAAAATCATACAGTCACTGCTGGAAAAGGTTCAAATATGGAAAAGATGCTAGAAAAACAAAGGCCTTCAACTCATGTTAAAAACAGGCCCTAATTGAGTGTTCTCTGTTCTGAAGAACTGAGAATGATTTGATGAGCTTGATAGCTTAATCTGATCATCTTCATGACCCATCAATCCTTGACTAGTGACAGAAAAGATAATATCAACAAACTACCATTTTTAGGAAAGAACTTAAGCATCCTGTTGTCAACAATTGTCTTGGAACAGAATTCCAACTGGCTCTCGCCATCAAAACTATTAGTATTTTCACAGCGTCCTGGCTGTCTGAGCATGGCAGGAACATGAAAAGGCAGTCCACTGTGAAGATGCGGATAGCGGCAGTGACAGCGAGGGGGGGAGGGAAGATGCGAGAGCTTTTTAAAGCGCGTCTGAAGTGATGAATAAATGAGTCTGCCTTCCAAGGTATTTTGGAGTCGATTTCCCAGAGGACTGCTACAACTCCGTAACCTCAGTGACATTTCGCAAATTTGCCTGAAATGGATTTGACTGCTACTTGACAAGTAAAACGACAAATGTAAAACAGAACCGTTACGCTGACAGTTACATATGCTCATCAGTACTTCTGTCTTTCTGTCAGTTCAGTGTCTTGAATGATCTTTTCTCGCCATATTTCAATGTCTACAAGCTTCTCTTTTCAGACGTTTACCTCAGTCGTGACTAAACATGCCACCTCAAAGTCAACCCTGCTTCCTGTACCCATATTGCAACTCCTTTAAGCCCAATTTTCAGAGTCTGTGTGAGCTTTTCCAGTTGTCAGCAGGAGGATATTATTATTGTGGTATGACTTACTGGTATTTTGATAGGTTGTTTATTGCACTGCGTGGTGTGATGTAGTGGTTAAGGCTCAGTGAAGATGAAAGTCATAAGGTTGCTGGTTTGACTCCATCACCATTTTGCCTTTAAACTGACACTAAAAGTCAACATGAAATGGAGCAAAACAGGATACTCAGCGAAAAACTATGTAGGGCCATCGGCGTTCATTGGAATGTAAAATATACAGTATGTTTTTAATCCAAACTGGTTTGGTGATTGGATTTCAGTTTACTTTTTGGTCTATATTCAATCAACCTACCTGATAATTATGATGTATTAATTGGCCAAGACTTTTTGTGTTGTTGTTGTTGTAATATATTTATGATCCTGTTTACAGAATAACTAATATATAATAATAGTATCCTCATTATATGCTATTGTATTAGGAGCTTAGTTTTCACATTGTATTTTTAGTTAAATAGATGTTTAAATTACGATACTTAATGTTTATACATGTTTCATGTAAAAAAAAAACATGTAAAATAATCTTCTGAAGTCCTAAAGATGCCCTGTTGACTAAACTGTTGACAGAACATGGTCTCTGGCGATCCCTAAAGTTTTGTTGTAGCTGATCTCATTTATTTATAATCTAATGCCGTGTTGGAAGAGACTTTGTCACAATTTCTGTCAAAGGCTCTGAGCAAATGGAGGCTTAGTGACAGGCCAGTCTGTTAAAACACACTTCCTATGAACAACATCTGCTGGAAGCGCACTGGGAAACCAGACCTCCCACAGACCAGGGCCTCAGAACGATCCAGCTGTGAATAGACTACTTGAAGAATTATGTGATGCGGTTTAAGGATCAGAATTGATTAGGACTGTAATATAAACACCAAATGGTCTTGAGAGAAAACTAAAACCAGTTTAACTTGTCTGTTTATCTGCTTTTCTGACTGATATTTTTCCTGACTGGTGGTGCAATCTATTCCTGGAGGGCCCGGCAAGAGGCCGAAAGTGACCCAGAAGACTATGAGATGAATGAACACTTTCCTCCAATTTAAAGGATGGATGTTCTGGGAACTGTTGCAGCCTCTTTTCTAAACAGACCTTCATCTGTCACAGTCTAGCTTCAGAGACCTACCCCTTTTCCCTCCAAATCCTCGAGAAACCTGCCGAGTCTGGGTCGTACAATCCATCTCAAATTTCCTTGGTGCCCTCATTTGCAAGCATATATGCTTTCGGTTGGTAAAAGCTAGAGGCGTGCATGAAAAGTGACAGTTGGGCATCCGTCCACACCGGTCTCGAAGCTGCCAGACGATGTGCGGCAACTAGGCACAGTCTTATCAAACTACAGCTTCATTGTAGTTGGGTTTTTTTACCACACAATGCCACCTGCTCATGCAACTTCATCTAATACTGTATTTATATGACTTTTTCAGCCGTGGCTTTGTTTATTCTCATTAAGCTAGCTTTTCTGCTGTGACTCACCGAATCGTAGACGCTCCCCGTTGTCTTTGAACACAACTGCGCTAGTGAGAGTGAGGGAGATCTTCCTGCTTATTTGTTGCATAAGATAAGCATTGTGAGATGTGTAAGGCTCCTTTTGGTGATTACTGTAGGCAGCTGATGGGTTTTTATTGTGGAAATGCTGTTTCGGGATCAGTTTGGGAAGATCAGTGTTTGCTGGCTCGAGAAGTGCTCGTCTTTGATATAATCCTGCCGTACTGGGAAAGTTCATAACTGTGAAAGCTAGCAGGGCCAAACTAACTAAAGTGAGGTAGAAAGGGCTGCATTCATTATCCACTCTTTGTTTTGTGTAGTACATGTATGTTCCACACATTGTTGATTTTCTTTTATCTTTTTGACTAAAATGTCCATGTTTTAGAGACATGATATTGCATGTTGTGTGGCATGCTTTTACAGCATTGGCATATTTTTATGTGACCTACCTAACACATTTTGACTACCATTAGACTTTTTTTTTTCTTAAGTCTGTTAGATATATATATACAGTGGGTACGGAAAGTATTCAGACCCCCTTAAATTTTTCACTCTGAGCCTAAGAGACTTCTTAAATATGTATATATTTGATAAATAAATATAGTTATATATCAAAAATATAGTAATCAGTAATATTGTGAAATATTACAATTTAAAATAACTTTTTTTTATTTTAATACATTTTAAAATGTAATTTATTCCTGTGATGTAAATCTGAATTTTCAGCATCATTACTCCAGTCTTCAGTTTTACATGATCTTTCAGAAATCATTCTAATAAGCTGATTTACTGTTTTAAGAAACATTTCTTATTATTATCAGTGTTAAAAAACAGTTGTGGTGCCTCATAATTTTGAAGAAATCATGAAACCTTTTATTTTTTAATTCTTTGTTTCATTTTGACTTATTAGAAATACAAATATTTCTAATAAGTATAACATTCAAAATGTATCTTTTGATCAATTTCATGCATCCTTGCGGAGTAAAAATATAAATTTCTTAAAAAAAAAAAACTTTATAGAGAATGTTTAAGTGGACTGCTTAACCGATCGGATTATTTGACTTTTTTTTTTTTACATTTTCTTCAGCAGTGTTTTAGTTTAAATCATTAAATTATTGTCAAAATAATTTTTATGATTGTCTTAAGTGATGAAATGAAAACCTTACTCAGCAATCATTTTTGACAGTAATTTCAATATTTACATTGGTTCTTCATTACAAAATGTTTATGTGTGTTGTAGGTTCCAGCACAGAAGTGTCGCTATGCAGTGGGTAGTATTTTGAGTGAAGGCGAGGACGGACCCAATGAGGAACAGCAGCAGCTGTATGAGAAGAACGGCTTCCGGGTTTTTTCTTTCCCAGAGGTCACACATGTTGTCACAGCATCCTTCCCTCACCGAACCCCTCTCTCTATTTTCCTGGGGGTGCAGAGGGTCTATCCAAAGCTGAACTGCTACATCAAGGTAACATCATCATCATCTTCAACATTGATCAAATGTCTGTTCTCTAGCTTTTCAACTTAACTTCAAGGCCATGTTGGTGCAGGTGTGTTTAATTCAAGTCGTCTCCATAGTGCGATTGATTCCGTGCTTGTGTTTCCTTCGACATGATTTGTGTACTGACACAAAAAGGTTGTAAGGGAACAAACGCCTAGTCTGTCAGTGTTTTTGGCCTCTATCTGGAGGGATGCAGACAGTAATTATTAAGCAGTAGACTTAATCATAGCAATTAAGGACAAAGAGAGAGAAGAAAAGCTGGGGATGAGGGCAAAGAAAGCAACAAATGAGAGTTGCAGGATTGCGAATTGGGAAGAGGTAAGTAGAGGAAAGTGCAGAGATTTGGCATAGAAAGGAAGCAGTAAAGATGCACATTCAAAAGATTTTGAACCCAATATACTTACAGCAAAGTTAATTTGTATTCTTCGCTTAGGGGTAAAATTAAGTTTGATTAACTTTGCAGTAGTATATTATTAGTGAACATCCCAATGCTGTCTACAGTGCTATGCACGTTCCATTCAATAACAGAATAAACGCACAACAAAAATGACAGTGGTGAGAAAACAGCAGTTAAGAAAGCATGTGATCATAACGATGTAGATATGTTTGCACAAGCTCTGCAATTCTGATGTGCAATCAAGTCACGTCACGTCACGTCACGTCACGTCACGTTTATTTATATAGTGCTTAGTTTATACTATAGATTTCTTTAAAGCAAGCAGCTTTACTGTATTAAAAATGCAAAAACAGAGTCAGTCTCTCATGTTTGAAATGACCTCACATAATTTGTTCTTTGATTTTGCTTGCCATTTGTGCTCTCACTATGCTGTACGTTTAAACATAAGTGACCAATAGTCCAAAAATAAGTAAATATTTATATTTTTTGAAGTGATTTTGGTAGCCTTTTTGATGGCCATCAAAGTTTCTCTATATATTTTTGGCATCATTTGTGTGTGTGTGTGTGTGTGTGTGTGTGTGAGCCCCCCCCAACTCACCCTGCCATCTGCCCTGATGCAGCGTCAGTGTGAACGCAGCCAACAGGCTCAGCCTCCTGCCTCCTCCAGCCTCAAGATCTGTCTGCTCAGCTGGTAGATAACTTATCGCCTCCTGTTCATGCATGTTTATTTTTTGACCCTTATAGAAATCTTGATATCATCAACTTGCAGTTCTAGGCTTAAGAAAGTCTGGTGTTAAATGTTGACATCTATTATCTAAAACACTAGGGAGCATAATACTGGATTATTCCATCTGTTTGGACATAGGTATGGCAGTGTTTCAGTAAAAACACTGCTTCAGATTATTTAAATTCTCTTTCCCAAAATTTTTGTAGACGTCTATGGTCTTTAATGTGTTTTGTGTTGCTGCCTTGAGTGAATGTAATGTAATAGACTTTCAAGAAAAATTAACTTATAGCAAATTGTTTGAGATTGTATTACACGTCTGAATACTCTGTTATCAATTATTAGTTGTTTGTCTTGACTGAGTGCAGCTAGAAGTTAGCTGTGGAATTATGGAGAATTTGGCCAGTGTGTGATTTCTCAGAATTGAGAATGTGAGATAGAATCATCCAGAAAGGTGGCCTACAGGTTTCTATTTTCTATTCTATTTTAAGGGACGTGCAAAATATACACTACTATTTAAAAGTGCTGGGTATCGTTCAAATATTTTCAATACCGATACCTTGACTTTGATACCGGTTCCTAAACTATACTTTTTTTCGATACCAATTTTATGAAATCCATTTTAACAAGATTAAATTACACATTACCTCAAAAAACATATTGGTTTTATTTTTTCTGATTATTAACGTCTTTACAGACTCAAAGAGTTATCTCCTGAGCCACTGCACAAAGGAACAAAAAAGCACAAAGGAACAAAATGTAACCAACACAATAAATCAGTGCAAATAAAGTTCAAATTGTTTTCAGTTTCCCCATCTTTTAGGCTACGTTTACACTAGTGCGTTTTTTTTTAAAAGGGGTGGTTCACCGTTTTTTTTCTAGGCTTGATTGTGTTTATGGGGTGCAGTCTAACGTGTTAATGCTTAGTTTTTTAAAAAACGCATTATTTTTCACATAATTTACCTTTATTCATTAAAGCTTTAATACAGTATGGCAACTGCACGCGCGTCCATGTTTAACGCTTCTCATAGCTATGTGAAAATAAGTGTATAATTGTAACAGTTCATTGTTGGAGCTGAGAGAGAGAGAGATGCAGAGCGTGTGCTGAGCAGGGGGAAGCGAGGAACAGTATTAAGAACCGCTGCTTTAGAACATTGATTTTGAAACGTATGAATCCATTAGAATCGTTAGAAGACAGAATCGCGATTCATATATGAATAGATTTTTACGTGCACCTCTAGTTTTCTCTTCCTCTTCTCTAAAGCAGCGCAGCATGGCCTCGCCCCCTTTGCTACCTTTTCACGAGGGCGGGGTTATCTGAGTTTGTTACGTCACGAACCCGGGAAGTAATTTGTTGTAGTCCCTACCAGCCGTTTTGATAGGCATTAAACTGCCAGAATTTTAAAAGACGATATCTCCGTTTGCATTGAACTTTCAGCTTCGTAACTTTGCAGATATTGTTTATGCTCAAACAGCAACATTACACACTAACTAACGTTAAAATTGAAATCGCAATGAACCACCCCTTTAAAATGCATAGCTTAGACAGAATCGTAATTTCTATTCATTTTCCACTGATTTACTGATGAACATTAGCAGCTTGAGTGAGTTTTGAGTAAAAGCGTAGTATAAATCTTAAAATTGTCTTATATAGCATGATGCTACAGTGTGCATGAATGATCAAACAACACGCGTTTTCAGTCGTGTAGTGTGGATGGAGATCTTTTCTGAAGTGCAGTGGAAACGCCAGTATGGACGAGGATTGTTCTAGTGTAAACGTAGCCTTACATCTATGGAGGTCTGACGCTTACACACTACAGCCTCATGTGTGAGCCACGTCTCTGGGCATTATCGGCATAAACTAGTGTTCTTCCTGGATGCCTCACCAGAGCCAATCACCAGCACTTGATTTAGGCACATCAAGCATGCAGCACGCTTACTGGCTCACAGACGTTGACCAGATTATCCCCTTAGGTATCGAAATTTGGTACCAAACGACAAGATATTTTTCGATACTTGATGATATCGAGGCAATTCAGTCGGTGCCTAAAAAGTACCCAGCCCTACTATTTAAAGGGGATGTTTAATGCTATTTCATGCATTCTGACTTATTTACACTGTTAAAGAGTTGGGTTCTCATGCTAAAGATGACCAAAGTGTCAAAAAACGAGTTGGATGTATGATGGAGTATTTCTGTGCCAAATACACTCCTTCAGGGTTTGTATAAGTTTCTGAAAGTTTTTTTTTGAGTATGGCCCTGTATGACATCATAAAGGGCGTAATTCCTTTTATGGGCACTTCTCACAGAAGAGCGCGCTCACACATCAACCAGAGTGAGAGCAAGAGCAGCACATCAATGTGCTTCATTCATGTTACAGAAGTCGTCGGCAGCGCTGCACAGGACTTGTTCGAGAAAGATTTTACATTTCGTTTTTGACCACAAAATCAACAATGCCAATGGCTTCCCAAAAACCCAGCGTTAAGGGGATTATTTATGTCGATGTCACAGCATGCAGACGATCGCTACGTAAAAGCTGTGCGTGCTCGTGACTCTTAAGCTCCGCCCACGCCACGCCTCCACGAGCTCATCTGTGTTCGGTTGACTGTTTTGTTTTTTAATATATTTTGAAAAGTAATTGATCCCTGTGGTGCAAAGCTGAATTTTCAGCATCATTACTCCAGTCTTCAGTGTCACATGATCCTTCAGAAATCATTCTAATTTGCTTATTTGATGCTCCAGAAAGAACATTTCATATTATTATCGATACATTTCTTATTATTATCTTTGTTAATACAGTTGAGATGCTTAATATTTTTGTGGAAACCATTTTTATTGATTTATTTTCAGGATTCTTTGATTTAATAGAAAGTTCAAAACAACAGCATTTATTTGTAATAGAAATTGTTTGTAGCATTATAAATGTCTGTCATTTTGATCAATTTTAATGTGCTTTAAAAAAAACTGATCCCAAACTTTTCCATAAGACATGTCCTTATGCGCAAAAATGGCTAGTTGAAGCAGACTATAAGTAAATCTCAAGACACATTTTTAAAAGTTTTTTTTTACTTTTTTCACATTTTTCAGATGGTTACTTAAAAAGCAATGCTCATGACATTCTCATGATGGTCAAAACACTGTTTAAAACTCAACACAATAGATCTTAGTCTGGGTACTTTTTTCACATTTTTCAGATGGTTACTTAAAAAGCAATGCTCATGACATTCTCATGATTGTCAAAACACTGTTTAAAACTCAACACAATAGATCTTAGTCTGGGTAGACGGCCATGAAAACTAGGCTCATTTCACTAACGAACAACAAATCACGCCTACTTTGTATATAGTCCATATCTAAAGTAGGGCTGGACAATAATTCAATATCAATATGTATCGTGATATAATTTTTTTCAATAACGGTGATATGATTTTTCTAAAGCATAGCACTCTATCAGCTAGAATGTGTAAAATAAAAAAAATCTAAAAACAAATAGTTTAGATAAACTAGTCGATCACACTAATGCACAAAAGCTGGTTGTCGCATGGTTTGTTTCTCTTTGAAAGTCTTCTATTCAATATGCTACCATGTGGCATGTTCAGTTGTTTTCAAACAGCTACAGCAACTATGAAAAAAAACTTTCTTTTTGATCACGTCAAACCTCTCAGCCACAACTCTTCCACATCAAACCTGAGGTTCAGATCCAACGTGGCTTTGTTTACATTACATAACACGATTCCTACAGTCTATGAACACACTGCATATGCATCGCCTCATGAGAGACCTGCAGAAACCCGCCCCTAATCTACACCTAGGAGCCTGCCAAACAGAGCATTTTTTCTAGCGCCTAC